GGGGTGACAGAGCTTGTGAGCAACAAGAAATGACAAAGACAAGGCTACAGGGCTGGTAGAAGAGCAGAGAGAAGCCTTTGGGGGGTGGAGGGGGAGGGAAGTGGATATATAATGCATCAAAGGGAAATAGCAATACACAGAGGTGGCAGAAGCCTGACAACAAGAAAAAAGAAAAAAAATTTTTCTAAACTTTAGTTTTTTTCCCGCCCCCATCCACACACTTTAGATCATTTAGGACAACCTGAACAGAAAGGGGTACAACATCCCAGAAGAAAGACGGAGATACTTGGTAAAAATTTCTCCCCACCCGGGAATTGATCCACAGTCTCCTAACAGCGATGCTGGTGAAACACACCCAAAAATTTTTAAAAAAAATAAAAACAAAACAAGAAACTAAGACCTGACCAGGAGGACATAACTGACTTTATCTTGTGGCATGTTGAGGTTGAGCATTACCCCCCTTTATCATTTCCTCTCCACCGGGAAAGGCATAACGTTAAAACGGGAAGCGATTGCAAACAAAATTTGCTTTGTTCCAAGGTAAAGAGGAGATTCTTACAGCATTAAGTGGGAGAACAACTGCAACGGGGAATTCTTTTAGCGAATATTTGCGTGGCATCAATGGGAAATCGGGCGCTCATGAAAATAACGAAATCGAAGGGCAATTTTTTTCTGATGTTCTTTGGCTCAGCACCTTTTAAATAACACATTTCTGATTGGATTTTAGTGAAAAAGGTTAATCAAAAGCACAAAAAATATAAATTTGCAGTTTCCAAGGATACTACAGTTCTGGAAGTCACCAAACTTTGGCAGCCATTTTCATGGTATTTTTACCTGACACCAGGCAACCCCCACTCCCTTCAATTGCAAATATCTCGACCGCTATTCAATACAACAGGGTACTTTCTTTTCATTAGAAGCATGACAAAAGAACAATCTACTCTAAGAAGACGCCAATAACTCTATTTGTCCAAAAATTGAAAAGCGCCCGATTCCACTGTTGCGACACATTTGAAAATATTTCTATTTGCTTTAACACAAACAATGGGAACACTGAAGCAGAAGCAGGGCTAGCACGTTTAGAACACACCTTGTGTGTTTATGTTTGTGCGTGTGAGTGTGTGCACATGCAAGCGTGTTTGCGTGTTTGTCTGTTCTGTAAGTGGTAAAAAGTGTATGCAGGCATCTTTGTGAATGTGGGTATTGGCATGTATGTGAGTGTGTATACGTGTGTGCGTGTGCGTATGAGTTTGTGAATGTGTTTGTGAATGTGTGTGTGTGTGTGGGCGCGTATATGTGTGTGTGTGTGCATATGTGTATTTGTTTGTGCATGTGTTTGTGAATGTGTGTGTGTGTGTGTGCGTGTGCGTGTGCGTATGAGTTTGTGAATGTGTGTGTGTGTGTGTGTGTGTGTGTTTGTGAATGTGTTTGTGAATGTGTGTATTGGCATGTATGTATTGTGTGTGTATACGTGTGTGCGTGTGCGTATGAGTTTGTGAATGTGTTTGTGAATGTGTACGTATGTGTATGTGTTTGTGAATGTGTGTGTGTATGAGTTTGTGAATGTGAGTGTGTGTGTGTGTGTATGTGTTTGTGAATGTGTGTGTGTGTGTGTGTGTGTGTGTGTGTGTGTTTGCATGTACGTAAGCGTGGGAGTGTACTTACTCCCAAAGAGTGTCCGATGTCCTCATCTCCCAACAAACCGACCTGATGTACACACAAGACAATTCACCTTACAACAAAGTGGACGATCCGATCATCCAAGCAGAAACACCAAGATACTCAATAAAAATTTTCTCCCCGCTCAGGAATTGACCCCAGGTCTTCTGCGTGCGACAGCAAATCACTGAACTGCCACTCCATAGATGCCGGTATAACTCAGCTTATAGTCGTCCTTGTGATGAGATGAGCTAACAAATATGAGGGTACATTAGCTAAAAGAATGCAACAAGGTTTTTTTCTCTCTCTCCTGAGTAATTTTGCCTTCTGGGCTTAGTACATTTTAACAGCTTGCCCATGAAACGCTTTTTCAATTCGAATTCTTGCTGTGTACATAACTGTGGTGTTCCGAAATTTTCCCCACATATTTCAGTCTCACTTTGGGGATTTAAATAAATTTTCAACATGTCTTAGTCAAGTCAGTAAAATCTTTGTTTGTAAGACTCAACATTCCCCACCCTATTTTTATAGGGTGGGGGGGAACACTTCCTGAGAGCTCAGTTGATATACTGGACTATGGAGTGGATGTCCGTTGTTCGAATCCCCAAAAGGATATTCTTGATTCTTCAGTTTAAGTCATTTTGTAAAAGTTTTAGCACTCTCTGCCCATTTGGCTTGGTCCTATACGTTAAATATCCGAGGCGCCACCTCTTAAAGGTCAAAAGGGGTGACCGATCTCTACAAATTTATTTTTTTTTAAACACCCTCTTTTTTTCTTTCTAATAACCCTCTAGCAGTGTTCCGTTCTCCAACTCACCTGGGGCTGGGGCATGCCAGGTGCCTGACCATACGGGTTTGGGGAGCCGGCCTGGCCGTACATCATGTGACCTTGACCTGGGGCCGACGGGGCCTGGCCGGGTGGCCCTGCGGGAGCGCCGTAGCCCTGGCCAAACTGCTGGCCGTACATGGCTGGAATGTCATCAGAGACAGACAATGTGGTAAGGTGTTTAGTTTACTTTTAGCAAGAAATTTACAGCATTTGCAACACAAACAGGTCATATAAGTGAACAAGATTAGAGGGGTTTCTAGAGAGTAACACACACATAAAAGAAGGAGGAGAGATAAAGACGATCAATGTTTGATAGGGAAAAAAAGGAGCAAATCACACCAGAGCACCTACCAACATAACTCTATGCAGTATCACAAATGCCATCAGAGAAATAATAACATTTGCATTTACGATAAGTCTTGCAAATATTGCATATAAACTTGTTATTTCCATATTTTTTTTACCACATAAGTTGTGTACAACCCATGGAAACAGAATCTTTAAAAAAAATGTATAAAAATCTGATCGAGGTTCTTCGACAGGTTGAAAAAAGAAAATCAGAGACGAGCTCCCATTTTGTCGAAGAACTCTGCAGGTCTGCCAACATAGATGTTCAGGTCACGACCTACCAGGGTCATACTGCTGCTGCGGCTGTTGTTGCTGTGCTGGGGGGGCCTGGGGCTGCTGTTGTTGTGGAGGTTGTTGCTGCGGTTGCTGCGGGCCGCCAAAGGCTGGCTGTCCGGCGTAGGACTGAGGAATCTGTCCCGGCTGTCCACCAGGCGCGTATCCAGCCTGGCCAGCATACGCCATCGGCTGTTGTTGCTGTTGTGGTGGTTGAGATGGTGGCTGTTGCTGTTGTTGAGGAGGCAGGGGCTGCTGGTGTGGGGGCGTCGCCACGCTGGTTGGGGGCTGAGGAGGAAAAGATCACTCGTGAGTTAGTTCAATCAGCAAGTAAGTTGAAGTTCATGAAGGGAGAAATACTGAATTTTTAAAAATTGAATTTCTTTTGTTTCGGTAAAGAAAAGCCTATCAACACAATAATATCAGTTATTTAGTGTATGAAAAAATTAAGACAGACAGACAGAAACAACAGGTGGTTGACAATGACAATGACAATCTTTATTCATCTCGCAGGAAGAAATTTGTCTTGGTCGTTAACAATGGCAGTAGATGTTACAAAAGTTAGACGTAAAGGTGCACTCACGCAAACGCACAACAAGACAGGACATTATGCCAAGTAAATACATGTCTCACGGGCTGGGACAACCCGCTCCGTAAAACATTCATTCTCTCTCTCTCTCTCTCTCTCTGTTTCATTTGTAGC